ATATATACATATATATAGAATATATAAAAAAGAAGGAGAAATAATATTAGAAATAATAGTCTGCATGTCCTGTTTCTTATAGGGATTATACGCCGGCGCCAGTGACTTCATGTAAAATGTTAATTACGGTATGTTTAAATAGTAATTCTCCATCATATATCTAAACATTTTGCCTTTAATTATGGTTTGCATACGCATTGTACTAGCAGTCAAATTAAAAATACACTCATTGAATATACCTGGGAAAATGTGCAAGGTAAAAGAACTTTTGTATACCGATCTACTAAATAATGGAATCAACTCCCGAAACTTACTAAAACCATTGAAAGTGTTCTAGTATAAAGAAAGAATAAATAAATAAGTAAATAAAATATTAATTGCGACGCTAATACAGTGAAATCGATATTGATCTAAATATCGATATTGAAGCTAAATTTTCTTCAAAATACATGATTCTCGAATAAAATTCTGTAGTTTCATGTTTCCAAGCCAACATACCATTCTCTAAGCCTTATATTATAATTATGAAATGTCATGATCTTACAGTACGATTATAGTTAATTGAAAATATATGTGAATACTGTCAATAATGTTGAATATGACGGTGATGATTTGTACTATTATGAACACTCTATTATTGATAGTCTTTGTCAACCAAACATGGTGCTTAAATTAGTTTACATTATGATCAATAACGTCTTTTTCTTGGCATCTTGAGCTAACAATTTGTTAATCCCGATGTTAATTGCGTGCATCCACCGGTTACTGAAGCATAAAGTGTGACGTTATTCGAATGTATGTGTTTAATTACTTTATTTAATTTAATATCGGAGGTTTAAATCAGTACATAGTTGATTTCATTTCATTTTCCTTTTATGGGCTAAAATATTTATAAAGAGATGCCGAAGCCGTTGGTTCCTTATGCAAGAGCTAATGTAGGAAGGAGAATATTATGATGAAACTTTATTACACTAGATTATGTTAATACACTTACGAACAAGCTTCAACCACTGAACCTGGTATTGTTCACAATGACGTCAAATACAAAATCATTCAGTTTTTATAGAATTTAGTGACATTTATGTATTTATTTTGTTGCATTGGTCTTTTGAATACCGGTATTCATTAACAATAATAATAATAATAATAATAATAATAATAATAACAATAACAATAACAATAACAATAACAATAACAGTAACAGTAACAGTACAGTAACAGTAACAGTAACAGTAACAATAACAATAACAATAACAATAATAATAATAATAATAATAATAATAATAGCAATAGCCTGTGCTAGAGAATGATGAATGTAAAGTATTATGGGACTTTACGATACAGACTGATCATGTAATAGTCGCATCGAAGAGAAAGAGAAATGGAGAATGTGATGAAGTATCAGGATTTAGCAAGAGAACTGAGGAAGTTATGGAAAATTAAAACAGTGGTCATTCCTGTTGTAATTGGGACATTTGGAACAGTTCCAAAGAAATTAAAGAAAAGACTGGAACAAATCGGTATAATATTTATTGACAATGAAGCAAGTGACAGTCAACGCAAAATGTTGGCTTTAGTGACACTGGTCTTTCATTATTATTAATAATAATAATAATAATAATAATAATAATAATAATAGTAATAGTAATAGTAATAATAATAATAATAATAGTAATAGTAATAGTAATAGTAATAGTAATAATAATAATAGTAATAGTAATAGTAATAGTAATAAATAATAATAAATAATAATAATAAATAATAATAATAATAATAATAATCATATTAATAATAATAATAATATTAATATTAATAATATTAATAATATTAATAATATTAATAATAATAATATTAATAATAAAAATAATAATAATAATAATATTAATAATGATAATGATAATGATAATGATAATGATAATGATAATGATAATAATAATAATAATAATAATAATAATAATAATAATAATAATAATAATAATAAAAATGGACATTTTATAAGGCGCCGGTATCCGCACGGTGCGCTCATGGTGCCAGAACTAAGCAAGACAGAAAAAATACGAGAGTAGAAAAGTAGTGCGAGAAAGAGAATAATTAATTGAGGAAGTGCTGGTCGAACAGATATTTCTTTAGTCTGGGCTTGAATATAGTGACATTTTCTGCCGACCTGATGTTATGGGCAGAGAAGTCCAGATTTTCGGAGCAGCAACAAGAAATGATCTATTAGGAGGAGTTAAGTTGATGATCGAAGAGTCCTTGCTCTATGTAGGCTGATAGCAGATTTGAGACATAGGTTGCACATGATTTATTAATGGCCTTGTAAGTCAGAAGTGCTATCTCAGTGGCGCATCCAGCCCGGTAAGAAAGAGAGGGGGCGTGAATGTCCGAACTTAGTGAGAGTCTCAGGAAAGAGCCCCTGGTAGGGGTGCAAGGGAAGATTCTCCCTTAAACCTCTAGCACCTTCATTAATTTGAGTTGATATTTGATTGATTTTTAATATTTAGCAGGGTAATTTTCTGATGAGCTTTACGCCCCCTCTAAATCCGCCACTGTATTTTGTAATGAATCCCGAGTTTTACAGGTAGCCAGTGAAGTTCCATTGAACTGTCAATATGATACATACATTACATCATACATAGCGTTATTTCATGAAGACCAGAGCGCTCAAAGCCGCGTTAACTTTCATAGCTCATTCAGTAACTTTCTTCTCCCCTAAGGAGGGGCAGGGGCTGTACGTACCAGTACACCGTGGTAACCCCTACTCGTCTAAAAATATGTACTGGGATTTTTATAGTGTACATGAGCCAATAAAACACTGGGCTTACGGTTTAGAGTCCTTATCCGAGAAGACTGGTTCCACCTTCAGAACCATAGGCGAGCATGTTGGTCGAACCAACGCCGATATAATGGCTGTACGTTGCGGCTCCCCTGCCTTAACCGCTCGACCATTCGAATCGACATTATAGAAACTATAAAATAAGTAAATATAGGCCTTTATAGACTTTTATTAATAGATAATTAATAAACTGTTGACTGAATAATTTAATTAATAATTCTATTACAACAACAAATATTGTCAGTTAACTTTAAATCATTTCAGAAAAAAATATATATTCACCACAGTAAGACAGTTTTTCTATAATATTAATAAAATCGTAGGAGATCTTCGTCACTACAATATTCGGCTATTTATCTATTCTTGTATGGTGCACAGACTTGGACAATCAAGAAAGTAGATGAAAATCGATTACTGACATTTCAAATGACATCAGTGGCGGCGCCAACGTCTGAAATCTGGACGGGGTAAATAATAGGATTCATTCATCTTGACAAAATAAGAAACACAAATAAGGCAGAATAAGAACCCGGGGAATACAATACACTGATCACCAAAAGAAAACTACGCTGCTTTGATGAAAGTGGCACGTTACACATCTACGCTATGTGTATGTCCAATTTGTAGGGGTTTATTTTACTCCGACCTCGATTTATTAACGATTCTTTAAATTTAATTATATTAATGAACGTTAACCCGTTGTACAATTAATGACATTTCCATAAGTGTTTAATTAGTTTGATTTAATTTTGTATAGATCAGTTTCCATAACATAACAAAGTTGCTATTATTATTCATCGTTAGGCCTATAAAAAATGTTGATAGACTAAAGGACATTGGAAAATAAAAACAATGAATAATGTTTGCTCTCAAAACCAACCCCCCCCCCCCCCCATCCATTCTGGTCCACATTCCACAAATTCGCACCCACCCAATAAAAATTCTGCGTACGGGCCTAATCAAGATAGGAAAACGTGGTAAGATAACATATATCAGAGGCCATCACCCAGTCAAGGCTAGTGTGGACGGCTTAGGCCAAGGTAATAAGAATATCTTTAGTATTTATATCGGTTGGCATTGTGTGATCATTTCAGCCTTCAGAAAGAAAAAATCATTAAATCATGAACATATAAAATGAAGAAATGTATGCCTCTAGAGGCCTTTCGGCATATTGATATACAATTCGATTAGAAACAACTTAGTGAACTTTACCATTTAAATATAAAACAATTATTCACTGTAAAATACCGGTACCTTTTCTCTAATAATATTCGTCCATCACACAGGAGACAAGTTAACAGTTTAGGCTAAAATCAAGTCTATTTTTGAAATATGAAATACGAAATATGAAATAAATTCGTTATATTAACTTGGCTGGCATTGTGGTATATCATAGTTGCCCCAGACACCATCAAAACACGTAATCGTCTGGGTTCCCTGCAACGTAGAAGTTGAGTTACACATGAACGTCACCACTGTGCCGTGCTTCATATCGGGGTCAGTTTCTGTGATATAGCCGTTGAGCGGTGCGTCAGGAACAGTACAGGGTGCTGGAAGGTTGAGAAGACAAAGATGGTAGTTAAGAAAATTTCAATATGTTGACGTAGAGCTGGAAAATTGCTGTATTTAATATATAAACATTACTGTTTTCGACAATATACACAATTTATAATGTAGATATCAATAACTAAAACTACAAAATCTCCTCTCAGGCTAGACATACATGCTAAGTGCTGTGTTACGTCACCAACATTGGTGGAAGGTTATTAATTTTAAAAGTAATAATTTTTGAGAGATTCAAAGCTCATTTGAATATCAACATTACCTCTACATTCTGGAAAATCTGTGTCCCATGATCCATCGGAACACTGACTTATAGACGATCCAGTAATGGTGTACTTTGGAGCGCAAGAGAAAGACGCCTTGGTATTGTGCTTCAGATGTATGTCGTCGACTGTGAAGCTTCCATTCGTTGGTGCAATCGGATTTTCACATGGGGCTGACAAAAAAAAGTTCTCATATTCAAATCACAATATAAAACATTAAAAAATCTATTTTCAAAGACAGCAGCTTAGTATTCCACCAAATAATGCAGTCGGTTATGTAGGCATGCATTAAAAGAAACGAAGCGGAAGCGTTTTTTTAACTACAGAAGAACAAATCCATATAATTCTACAAAATTTTGACATATATTAAAGCCAGGCTCAGAGGGAAAAACAATTTTTGCTATGTTGTTTAACTGATTTTTCTCCTAAAATGGCCAGCGGGGGGGGGGGCAGGATGGGCATTCCCAAGTTTTTCCCCTTCCTTCCCTTCCCTCTCGCTCCCCCCCCCCTTAATAAATTATTAAAATTAATGAGATAAAATTTCCTGTAGGCTCTTTTAATTTCCCAAATTTTGGTGTCCTTTCTTGGTATGGTACCCTGCTTTTTCTTTTACTAGTTTTGTAGCTGTAGTTGTTGCTGTGGTTGTTGTAATTGTATCATTCATAATGTTTTTTTATTTTTTTGTACTTTAATGTTGTGATGACTTTTAAATGAGAATTTTAAATTTTTCATATTTATATTTTGTATATATCTATTAATCTTTCTGTACATTTCAAATTTTCCTTAAGTTTGCAAATAAAGTTATTTTGAATCTTTTGAATCTTTTTTTTCATGATGCCGTCACCAAACCTGATTCTGTTTAGATGATTGATTACTGGTGCTGTCACCAGTATAGAACTGTATCAGCATTTTATTTGTCACCGAAACTGATATGATCACTTAGGTAGAATCGGTTGCTATTCTCGAGTTTTGTTTTAACTTCATTTTAAAATTTGCTGATGCACTGTACCCTGTATTCGCTTTATAAAAAATGACTGCTTCTGCTAGGAGAAAATAATCAAATAAAATGATGTACACAAACTTACAAATGGAATCGTTATAAGTAGACCTGTGTACGTACCGTACATTATCTTATCTTATTTTATAGAGACAGACCTCGGTGTTATGCGCTATATAAATCTAATTACATACATACATACATACATACATAGATACATACAAAATGGAATTAACTGTGATTATTTTGAAATGTGGTAAAGGAAAGTAACTTAGTCACAGGTTACGGTATATATTATAAAAATGTAATTAGGCCTATTGTTTTATATATAATTACGATGAGACACTGTCAGTGGGAGATTCCTTTTTTGGACAAATTTTATGAGTCGAATAACGGTATTACCTTTGCATTCTGGGCAAGGGTGTCGATCGGTTGTGGAAAGTGGAGGGGGGAGGGAGTGGTGGGGGCGAATTGCAAAATAGGGACGTGTTGGGCCGTATGTCCAAGCCTTGGCTGGGGACCAGGTCCTGTCTAAAGTCCTGTCTAATTTTAAGGAATGCAACAATTTATTTTCACACTATTTTAAAAATACAGTGGCGGATCCAGGAATTCGAAATAGAGGGGCCCAGGGACGGACTTTTACAGGTGGAGTGTAGACCACCTCAGCCCTAACATCGTTGGGGGTGAGGTAAGAAAATTTATGATTATGGCACCTCTAATTGGCCTGAAATGGCACTCTCAGACTTTGTATATAATTTTATTTTTTCTCCACTTCTAAATTTTTAAAAAGTTATGGAGGGTGGGCCGGCTGGCCCGCTTGAATTTGCCACAGAAATACTCATCATAAAAAGTTTTTCAATTTATCCTGGTAATCATAATCATGTCCGTTTGTACATTTCGTGCAAACTAACAATCATAAAAGTAATTATTTATTATCTACTGATTATTGTGTGACCTATTTAAACCACGAAAAGCAAATAAGACAAACCACGTTCTTTCATGGATTCCAGTTCTCTCTCTTTGCATGTACAGTACTTTGAAATCAATCAAGAGGTTTTCCTTTTTCCTCTTTTTGAAATTCACTTTTGTGCAAATAGTATTGCGACTATACTATTGTGAGTGAAATACTACCGTCTAACTTACGATCAAACAGGACTAAGGAGATAGGAAGCGCACAAAACATTAGTAAGCATATTTTTCACAAACATAAAGGTGATACGTAATTAATCATTATCATGACGCCATGGCGAGATTGCGTCAACGCACATCGGAGTTCGTAAAACTTGTGGTATGACTACTTAAATAAGTCGAAATAGATAGATCTAATCGTGTCAAATGCTGTATAATCATTGTTTAATAACGGTTATATAAAATTCAATTGACTAACTATAATTTTATGAAATTAGGAAAAACAGGAATTTATGTATGCAGATAATATTTAATTTACACTAGTATATACTACGGATCTTAATAATAAACAAAAGGAATAAATCGTTTATAGAGGAAATTGTGCACTTTTGAGTTTGTAAAATGTTGGCCTAAAAGGTTTACATGCTTAAAATTTAACAACGTACAGTACATTGTTTTCCTAATAAAGTTAGCCTCTGATAACCGTTGCACCCATAAAATCGATGGAGTGGTTATTGAGACAAACAATTGCGTTTTTACTCGGTTTCGGTCTGGAAATACGCACTGCACTTGAAACAGGGCACAAGTTAACAGACGGAATTAATAATAATAGTAATAATAATAATAATAATAATAATATATGTCTCAGAAAGTGTATGGTACCCAACATTAATTACATTGAAATAGTTCATTTGAAGGTTCATGTGGAAATTTCATACCGTAAAACCTCGAATTGAAGCCCTGTGCTTCTTCTTTGTTTTGCGAACTTTAGATGGGCTTCTTTTCAAGATGGGCTTCCTGTCGAGATGGACTTCTTTTCGAGGATACTTTTGCAAAGTAAAGGGGGGTAGGGGCTTCTTTTCAAAATGAATGGTGTAAATTTTGTGAATTTTTTACTATAAAACAATAAATAAGGCCATTGTAACATCAATTTATATCATGAAGTGTATCTGAATGCCATTAAATCACCTAAACTACTGTATAAACCAAGTTTGTTTTTAATTTATTTTGTTTTTTGAAATTCATGTACAGTATTTGTACTGTACTATCTCAAAAAGAAGCCTACGCTACCGTATCTTGTAAAGAAGCCAATGTACTTCTTTTCGAGATGGGCTGCTTCTCGAGGCTACTTTTGTAAACTAAAAAGGGGGTTTCAATTCGAGATGTACTTCATCTCGAGATTAAGCCCACTGGGCTTGAATTATACTATATATACTGTCCACACAGCGCCACCAGCGAGCTGATTTAATCCTGTTTTCCGTCTCTATATTTTACGTCATCATTCCTAATCTCCTCGACTGGGTGTGTGCTCTAATCACACGGCGTAGCCAATTTTCGTTTATGTTTGCTCGTGATTGCATAGGCAAATATCAGGAGCGGATCCAGAGATGTTCAGAAGGGGGTCCGAAAGGGGGGGGGCGAAATTTGGGCCGATCGAGACAGCAATGTCCTAGGGGGTCCGGGGGCATGCCCCCGCGAAATTGTTGTGTTCTAGACGCCGGAAAATAACATTTGAGGCGTTGTGGGCTATCATTTTTTTCTTTTTCTTTCTTTTTTCTTTTTTTTTTCTTTTTTACCTCCTAATTTAGGGGGGGGCGGGCCGCCCCCCCCTAAATCCGCCCCTGATTATACATCTGTTTACTATTTTATCAAATTTATGAAGTTCTCGTGATTTGCATGTTGATTTTGACCGACTAAATGAATGAATTAATTAATGTTCATGTTTTGGACAAATTTAAATAATTTAAATATTAACATTACCTTTGCATTCTGGAGAATCTGTTTCCCATGATCCATCGGAACATTGAGTTGTAGGGGATCCAACTAAAGTGTACATTGAGTCACAATAGAAAGATGCTTGGCTATTGTGTTTCATTTCATCGTCAACAACCGCCACATTTCCATGCTCTGGTGCACTAGGAAGGCTATCACATGGGGCTGGCAAAACAAGTTGGAATAAACCTGTATTTTATTAATTCGCATAATAAACACTTAATAATCGTTTTTTCTGTTGTGTTTTCAAGATCCATTGGCAGGTGTTAGGAAGAAGCGGGATTTGAAGGAAGTAATGTCGAAGGCATTAAGGCTGACCTGTTACTTCGAAATGGAACACTTTACATCGATTAGGAGTCGCTACATACCGATCGCACATACATCTATCCAGGGACCATATACATTGTTTGTAGGAAGATTGCTATTATATTAGGCGGAGCTGAAAACGTTTAGTTGATTACATACATCTATCAAGGGACCATATACATTATTGTAGGAGGATCATTATTATATTAGGCGGAGCTGAAAACGTTTAGTTTATTACATACATCTATCCAGGGACCATACATTATTGTAGGAGGATCATTATTATATTAGGCGGAGCTGAAAACGTTTAGTTACATACATCTATCCAGGGACCATATACATTATTGTAGGAGGATCTTATTATATTAGGCGGAGCTGAAAACGTTTAGTTTATTACTGACTAATACGTTAACCAGAACATAATTGTTAATTTTGTTCTTATTTTTTGTACTTTATTACTATTATTTTTATTTCGTGAATTTCAGTCTCAGAAAGTGTGCGGTATTTGGTAGCAATCACATTAATTACATTGAAATAGTTCATTTGAAGGTTCATGTAATAATTTCACACCGTAAAACCTCAAATTGAAGCCCTGGGCTTCTTTGTTTTGCAAGTTCCTCTTATTTATGTTCTATCAAAACATCTATAGGCCTAGGCCTAGATTTCAAATTTTATTTGCCAATGTTCTTGTTTTGGACAAACTTAAATTATTTGAATTGACAATACCTTTGCATTTTGGGGAATCCTCTTCCCATGATCCATCGGAACACCGACTTGTAGAGGATCCAACCAAAGTGTACATTGAGTCACAATAGAAAGATGCTTCAGAGTTGTGCTTCATATCGGGGTCATTTACTCTAAAGTTTCCATGCAATGGTGCACTAGGACTAACACATGGGGCTGACAGAAAACGTTGGAGTAGATAAGACGTGTTAACTATTAAATCACAATTTATAAACTTGGGCGTAGGCTGGTTTAGACTTGGGGGTGGGGGTGCGCATGCCCGGGCAGGGTGCGAAAAATGAAAATGTGGAACTAAATCCCTGTTTCCATGAACACCTAAAGGTCACATTTTGTATTTCAACTCACTAAGTGGAACTAATTTGCTGTCGTGGGGTGGGTGCTGCGTCTGCACCCTTGGCAACCGCCCCAGCCTACGCCTATGATAAAACAATAAAACACATTCGAAGGTGAAGCAACGCAGGAATACTCAAAGTTTAACCAGTTAAAATGCTATTCTCATTGGAGATTCAATCAATCACCTACAACGAGGAAAAAAACTAGTCAACTTTGTGATTGTGATGGTTATAACCTACTTATTATTATTTTTTTTTGATAGACCTACATGAGTAAAATGTTAATTATTCACAGATTAATTAACTATTAGAGCCCTCTTTTTCGTATACATTTTTTTTAATGCCATACACGTAATACATATAAATGACAAATTTTCTCAACAAACAAGAGTTCTTTTCGGAACTATCTATGTGGTGTACCGCAAGCATTAAATATATACATTTTATGAACTTGTAAATATCTGTCTGAAACGTATAGTGCTTTAATTAAAAGCCATGGCGAGGCGCGCGCGACGGAGCGTTTTTAATGACAATCCGCTCAAATCTGCCATCAAAAACCAATAGACGGCGTCTCGTCATTATTTACTTCTTCAAGTTCGCTTAATGTTTATGATTTACTCAGAAAAAACATTGCCATATTTATGTTTAAATTTAAGTACGATCAATTGCCTTCGGTGTTTCAATCTTATTTTCAAACTTTTAGTTCAGTTCACAATTACAACACTAGAACTAAAAGTAATTGAATTGAATCGTCGCCAAACGCTCAGAGAACGGATGGACCCGTCGGCCGTACAACCAATGTGAAACGCAGTGTTTACCCTTCCTTAGACTACTCAAATCTCAGTAAATTTAGACTGGACAACTCAAGACATGTGTGAAACATATTCAGCATTAATTTTCTTTTTGTTTCAATTATTCTAATATTGAGATTACCTTTGCATTCTGGTGAAGCGGTTTCCCATGAACCGTCGAAACATCGGGTTGTAGCCGAACCAAACATAATGTACTTTGGGTCACAAGAGAAAGATGCTTCGCTACCGTGCTTCATCTCTGGGTCATTCACTGTAAATTTGCCATTCATTGGTGTAGAAGGACTTCTGCATGAGGCTAAACAAATGCGTCGAATAGAAGATATATATATTTTAGAATAAACACGTATTAAGAAAATTTCTGCGATGATGGTGATCATTCTGGTGATAATGGTTATGATAGCAATTATGTAAGTGTAATTGTGTACCCCGATGTACTGATCCATACAGCCCCTCTTGTGCACACAAGAGTAGCTGGCACCGATACATGGTGTAGCTCAGACGCGAAGAGACCCTTAAAAAAGGTGGGGGAGGAGAAAGTTACTGTACAAGCTGATCCACTGTAACACTGTCACTGTAACATCAATCTGTATCATAGAGTCAAAGAACTTAAATAGCAGAAGAATGAGCTGTTTCGCGTATTTGCAGTAAAATTGATGGAACATCCGCCCTCCTTCGAATGGAGTAAAATTTGAATATTTTACTAAGTGGAGAAAATACAGGAAACAAACCAACCAGAGCGGCGCCTTTTAATATTGCTGTTTATTATTACTATATAGCGCCGCCGCGCGGGTGAGGTAAAATTGCTCTCCGTGTACCCACAATGCCTTTGGAACGGATGTTCCAATTTATTGGGAAGCTGCTCTATCTTCTGCTATTTATTATCTTTGATAGAGTGTATTAACCGGCAATATAATTACCTAAAACTGTATAAACCAAGCGTGTTTTTAGTTTGACTTCTCTCCGTGCTTGTCTTGTTTTCTCTTTGGCCTTCCTCTGTTGTCTTTCTTCTTTTGTAATCTGTTGGGCTTTGTCCCCTCCCTTGTCGTTTATTTTAAGGACGTGACCCTATGGCGTTTTCTTTTTGTTTTCCTTTTATTCTTTTTATAACGTGTTCTTGTTGGTTCTGAATAAAAGTTATACACAGTGCTATTTCTTACTTAACTAACTATAGATGCATTGAATGTGTGATTGATAACACAAGATAGTCCTACTAGAATTAATGAGCAATAGGCCTATAAAGTAAATTCATAAAAGTTTCAGCCATTATTTTTGATTGGTTTGTCACAATGATGATGATGATGATGATGTACACATGCGTGTTGGCAGATAGCATAATTTAATTGATCTGTCAGCGTATTTTTGTTTACCTCGCCATTTTATTAGCCTTTTTTCTAGCATTTTTATTGGCCCAATAACAATCGACATAAATATTGATTCAACACTATAGGTGAAGTACAATAAATGCTACAGATACTGGTATTTACAATGTCTATGTAATATAAGTATCGATTGTGCGTGCTTAATTGCATGTATTAAAAAATCGACTTAGTAATTTAGGCCATGGAACGCTTGGCAGAAACACCTGTTTCCCATTTTTGTGAATATATTAATAAATAGTAATAATAACACTATTATTTATTATTTTTATTATCATTATCATTATTATTATAATTTTATCATTATTACCATTATTATTATTATAAATAATAAAAGAAAGAAAGAAAGAAAGATTATATTATTATTATTATTATTATTATTATTATTATTATCATTATTATTATTATTATTATCATTAGGCCTATATAATTATATCATCAAAGGAATTGAAAGAGCGGTACACAGTAGTGATTGCGCCGATCTCAAAATCAGGGGTGTGCACCTTCCTCCCCTTTGCATCCGCGCCTGTTAATCATGAAAGTGCCTTGAGACGGACCAGAGAGTATATCACTAAAGTTTCTATCATTATTTGTTTACTTTCATGACAGTGGCTCGTATGCAACGGTGCGTCGACTCGATTAAATGAACAAAACTAAACAAGCAAAGGAAACAAGAACGTAAACAATGACTGCCTATATATCAGTCTTTCCAATTAAAACGGGGATTTACTCGATGATGAAAATTTATAAGAAATCCGAATGGACAAACCATAACAAGTTGGTCCTGCAGGAATCATTGTATGTTTTACACATACTCTTGGTAATACTCCGTCTGTGTTGTTCGCATAAGAATATCCTGGGTTACATGTGTATATTCCAGTTGTCCCGGGTTCAACCCAACGTTCTGCACTTCCATTGAAGCTTGCATATTTTAAAGTCGAATCGCACAATTCTAGACAAAACATAGCACAATAATTGAAATTGGTTCCAAACAAAATTATAGAATGTAATTATCACTGCGAGATTAAAGTGGCGTTAGCTTTTTTTTTGTTTTCCCTCCTCAAAAGTCAAGTGTATGTCTATGAAAAGAGGGGAGACGATCCGATCCCTTTTTTCCATACATTTAAGTACTATATTATCATGTAAATAACATTATTGTTAACACTTACACGTGTAAACGTTTCTGTGAATCATGTATAAAGTTTATAGTCTAAATACAACGCCGTACCACGCAGCCCGACGCAATTTATCTTAGGTCGACCTGGAAATATTAAACATGTTTAAACATGGAGAAAATATATTAATATATCTTCTCCATGGTTTAAACATGTTTATTATTCTCATCCTGGTGGATTCGTTTGCCCGGCTTGTGTTTATGCGCGTGCGAGATTATGTACACACACAATCTGTGTATAAAGCTAAAGAATAAATGACTAACCAAGTTCACATGTAGTTCCTCCATACTCTGTCGGGCAAACACACTCGTAGCTTGTGCCGGGGTCACATGTTTTGCATATTGCGCCATTTTGACATGGTTCAGAACTACACACTGATGATAGAAGGTCCTGGGTACAAATAGATTTGTTTTAAAGTATTATATTACATAATACAAAATGTTTCAGTAATATATATCAAAGAAAGGTAAATACAATGTTCGAATATGGGACATAATATATATATATATCTGTCTCTTATACACATCTAGATGTGTATAAGAGACAGGCCTTCCCATTCATTCATTCATTTATTTGGTCAATATCAACATATACAAGTAAAAAACAAATAAAACCAGTTAAAACAGTAATTCAATTTTTTTTTTAATATGTAAAATTTCTTTAAGAAATATTTTAAAAATCGAAAAAAGGGGTTAAAAATTCAAAGATAAAAAGGGTTAAAAATTTTAAATTACACAGAAACGAGATAAAGATTTAAGAACAGTAAAAAGTAAGTTAACAGTTAATAAAAACATCAGTACTGAGATTTATCGGAACTAATAAAAAATATTAAAAAGGTCAAAAAAGCGGTTTAAAAAGTTGTACAGAGTACTGTGGTACCATTAATGAAATTGTACTAAAAAAAAACAGGTACCATAATTAAAGTTAAATTTTGAGAAAAAAAATAAAAATTTTAAAAAGGAGCAGATGAAAAAACAAGAAGTTGATATCGACCAGGATAGCCCAAGAAAACCAATTACATAGGTTTATTTCCGTTGGGGGTCCTGAAAAAATAGTAATAAAGTATAATAGACAAGGTTTTATGACATGACTTCTTTCGTTATGACTTTCTCTTATTCGATAAGTAGTCTTTTACTATTTTTCTAAATGATGAAAGGCTGGCGGAGCTCTTTATTTTGCTTGGAAGTTTGTTCCATTCATGGATGACGGTAGCATAAAATGTGCCATCAATAGCTTTAGATGCTTTCGGTGGGATAAAGTTTAAATCGCTTTGACGTGTACCATGGCTGTGCTGGTCACATACTTTAGCAAAGTGGCTATTTAGGTACGATGGAGCAGAATTATTTAATATCTTATGCAATGTGTTTAATTTAATTTGTGTTACTCTATCTTCGACATTTAGTAATCCAAGTTTATTTAACTCTTTCTGCCCGACATGGCTTCGAGGTCCTTCGTTCGTTATATACCTAACCATATTGTTTTGCAAAACTTGTAATTAGTTTTTGCATTTTTTTGTAGTTCCAGAGTACCATGATGAGCAAGCGTAATCAAAATTACATTGGATGAGGGCAGAGCATAAGATTTTCCTTGCATTTTCGTTCAGAAAAGATGCTTGCCTATATAATAATTTCAGTCTAGCTACAGTTTTTTTGACAACTGATTGAAAAATATGTTCACCCGACAGGGATTGATCGAGTGTTATACCCAGGTAATTTATCGAAGAAGATTCATTTATAGGCACTCCATTGCCACGAACTGAGAATTCATTTGCTTCCTTTAATTTGTGATTAGTTTCAAACAGTATTGCTTCAGTTTTGCCTAATGAATTGATAGCTTATTGCCAATGAGCCATTCGTAGCAGGATTCTAATTCTTTACTCAGTTTGCTGGCCAATAAAGTTGGATCTTTTCCGGATATCATTAAAACACTGTCATCTGCATATAAAATAAGTTTGCAATTGACACTAATTGACATATCGTTAATATAAAAAAGAAATAAAAGTGGGCCTAGTATACTTCCTTGTGGGACACCACAAGTTATAGGAAGTAAACCAGACTCAACCTTGTTTACACAAACCAACTGTTGTCTGTTTTCTAGATAGGATTTAAACCATTGGATTGATCCTATACCCTTTTCTCTAGTTTGCTAATTAAAATACCGTGGTCAACTGTATCAAATGCCTTTTGTAAATCTAACGCTACCATACCAGTATAATTTCCATTAGACATTTGGGTACGAATATAATCTGTCATATGAATCAAACAAGAATCAGTTGAGTATTTACGCCTAAAATCTGATTGAAATTCAAACAAAATATCATTTTCTGTGAGATATTCGTCCATTTGGATGAATACTGCTCGTTCAAGTACCGTATTTTTGACATAGTGCTCAACTGACTTGTTACACTTTTTAAATATGGGATGTATTCGAGCGATTTTGAAATCGTCAGGGACAGTGTTAGTTATGATGGACAAGTTTATAATGTGGGCTACTACCCCAGTGATTGCTATAGCACCGTCTCGCAAGAACCTTACAGGGATATTGTCTAAACCCGCGCTCTTCGTTATATTTAACCCTTGGAGCTCTTTTAAAATGAAGTCCTCTGAGACAGGGGTTAGGTTCAAAGCGTTTTTAGAGACTCCTTTTCGTTCGTAAAATTGTCGGAATTTCTCAGAATCTGTATGATATTGTGCACTTCCATTTGGAAGTTTACTAGCCAGACTATGTGGAACATTAGTAAAAAACATATTAAAGTGGTCTGCGACTTTGTTATTATCGAAGCAGACGTTGTCGTCAATATTGAAAACAATTCGAGGCGACGTTTTAGATTTATCCTAGTGTTTTTAGTTGCGCCCATATTATTTTTTGGCTTTTTCTTATTCTCTTCTAGGGTTTTACTATAAAAAAAAAATCAGCTTTTGCGCATTTGATGTCCCTGCGTACTTTGTTTCTTATTTTACAAAAAGAATTATAAATTGATCTGTCATTTCTATGTTTTTTTACTTTCCGCAACAAGGAGTCACGTAATCGAATGTTTTAGGAAGCAATAGTTCAAAAAATAGAGATTCCATTTGGTCATTGTGCAGATCGGTTCTGGTGTTAAAAGCAATGTCATTTCGAATATATGCGCAAACACCTCCACCTGATCGTGATCTATCATTGCGTAAAATAGAATATCCGTTAATCGTGATTTCTTTATCAGGTATAGTATAATCTAGCCACGATTCGGTGATTGAAATAACAGCTGCGTTTGATATAACCGCTAGACCGCGAAATTCCGAGATCTTTGGTATTAGAGATCTTGTATTAAGATGGATGAAATGTAGACCTTTACTTTTGAAACATTTAAAATGATCCGTCGTGGTACCAGCTGTTTGGTTGATATTGTTTGTACATGTATCTACAATGTGGCTGTTTATGACCTTGTTTTCCGCAGTTATAGCATGTAACTGGTCTTCGCTGATCTGTTGGTCTGTAGCTGCTTGCGTTATGTGCGGAGGAGTAATTGTTGCCGCCGTGCTTGTTGGTACGGTTTCCGATGTAATGATCGTTTAGAACGTTGCTTTGTGTTTCTATTTTCCGGTTTATTTGGTTCAACTCGGTTGTCTCCTCGCGGTGGGATACTAGACACAATCAGCTGATTAGATTTTGATTTCGCTAGGGCGATCAAATCTATATACTCATTTGCGATTTCATCAACAGAGTTATTCGACGCTAGATCATTTGTGCCGCATAGTATCGTAACATCTTTGAATGGTCCAGTATTCGGATCATCGAAATATGATTTTATGTCACTAACACGTGCTCCTTTTATTGGATGAATCATTAAGTTATCTTTCGTTGAGACAATATTTTTAATTAGCGAATCACCAATTAAGATGTGTCTTTCGGGCACATTTTCGTTTGGAATTTCGGATGAACTGATGTCTACACGTTGTCAGCGTCCCGTTACTTAGTGCTTTTATCGTTGCAGTGAGGTGTTCTATTGTATCCGTCTGTTTCGTATTTTGTTCTTCTAATTGTAATATGCGTTCACTTTGTTCCCGTATAGCTTTTGTATGTGATAGTTGTATTTACAAGAGTTTTATACGAGAACAAGTATTTCAGATACTTCAGATGGCATTTGTCTGCAGCTGTAACATGGCCAAACCCCAGTTGTTTCAGCCTCATTCAACTTCAAGCAGTTTTCGTGGTACCAGTGGCCACATATGCAACATCGAATCGTGTTGCCCTTGTTAGGGTTTCCTTTTAGAGAACACGTTGTCACACATATCTTTCCCGTGGCAGTGCACTTGGTGTGTTTGTCTTTGGTTTGTGCTGTTGTATTTGCCATGTTACTGTCCCGTCACTAGAAAAAGGCTACAGGTATGTCATGATTCCGGTTGCTTAGCAACGCTTTTCAGGTTGCGATACGCTGTTGCAGTTACAGACAAAAGACGCTAGGTAGAAACAAAGGTAGTAATGAAACAGTTACCTGTCCCGTTCGGAATATAGGGTGTTCAGGATGATCGTGTAGCCTAGAGAAATAATAGCGAGTTTCGGTGATTTACGTGAAACGTTCGCTTTAAGTTCTCAACATTCGGAGGCACACTTACTTCTAAAAACACCTGTACTGATTGTATAGTTCATCAAACGATAAGCTTCAGTAGGAAATCGTAATAGGTAGGCTGTCTCTTATACACATCTAGATGTGTATAAGAGACAGATGCGATACTCTGGTTCAATTTCGTTTTTATCCTTTTGCAAGTTT